GGTAGAGTAGACTACAATGCCGGCTGTTCTGACTCACAGACTGTAAGTACGTTTTTTATATTTAAAGAATTTGCGACACGATTCAAACGTGAGGTTTTTGGGCAGTGTAGAGTTGCACTTGCTGTTTGTCATTTCTCCGATCACAAATGCAGACATGGTTTTATGTTACGCTCCGGCCTGACAGGGCATCACAATATGGTAAGGGGCGTAACATTTCCGTCACACGCTTGAGGTATTCGGCCAATCACAACGCACTGGATAGCTGGCCAATCAGAGCACACTTCGCTTTTCAGACCGATGAGCTTTGTAAAAATCGACGCGTTTCAGAAAGGCGGGTCATAGAGGAGAAACAATAATGTACAGTATGTGGAAAATAATGTGTTTTTTTTAACTTTAAACCGCATAAACACATTTCATTACACCAAATACACAAAATAATGTTATTTTTAGCAGCATCATATGACCCCTTTAAGAGCTGAAAATCTTGTACAATTCTGCACTGACTGAATTCATCCTAACACACAGAGTTACTTTTCAATTAAATAAAGAAATCACTTGTTTTGTCAATTTATGTGGATGGCATTTGTGCCAGGATGTGCATGCACATCACTTTCCTACTTTTGTCCTATCACATGATCAAACCAAATGCATTTATAGAAAGGAAATATTTAGAAAAGCATAACATTTTTGGTTTATAAATAACATCATTATTATAATAGAGTATTATAAAGTTTTTGAAAAATCACACCACATGAACTAAACTTCATATATTTAATGATTTAAAAACAGAATACGAGTTAAATAGAAAACATTTTTGATTTGGTGTCTGGAAATGCATTACTAAGAGCTCTATGAAGGTTCATAAGACAAAAAGGTTGGGAAACACTGATTTCCAACAATTCCTTGCTCCTATACAGTAAATATTTAAACGTCCACTGAGGTTCTTCATCAATGTCTTGGTCTCTTATCAACAGAGATGTGTGATGAACTATGTGACAAACAACATTGTTCTAATATTAAGTTTTCAACCCTCATCCAAGAACATCCAGGATGCTTCAGAATAGACTTTCCTGAATCAAACACATGAAGAAATGCTTCCATTCTACCATTATTTATTTATTTATTTATTGTGACATTTAGTCCCTCCCGTAAGTCCCAATCAAGATGCATGCATTTGCAATCAGCATCTTGAGTGCTCAAGGTAATTAAGTACTGGTGACACAGCAGTGGAATGGCTGTTTTTTTCTGTCTGCGCGTGTGTAATTATTTCCCCTCAGTCGACAGAGACCTGAATGAAATAACATGTATGATTAAATGCAAACCGTAAAGTGCCTCTTCCTTTTTCTTAGTGTTTTTTTAACAGAAATGCATTTAAGAAATGGACCTTGCGCCATATTCTCAGAAAGAAACTATATGATCATTATTTGCAGTGCTGTATCTCATTACTCAAACTTTGATTCTCTCCAGAGCTTCTTGGCACCAATGCTGTGTGCCACGCACAGTGTGTCATATTTTCAGTGACTGTTGTTTGTCCACACTGAAAACAAAATCACAGCCAATCAGAACATATTTGATGTTTAGAGCGCAACAGTGACCGCCTACTTTGTCTGCAGATTTAGTTTTGGAAGTATTTTTTGCATTCAATTTCTTCATAGTAAAGAGTGGTAAGCCATGAATCAAACCAGAGGAATTACAACCTTATAAATTAGGTACAAGACTGCATATTACTGAGCAACTAAACTACTTAACCTACAAAGCACTGTGATATAACAATATCAAACTATTTCCAAAAATTAATTATAAGTATAAAATCCAATATATTTGAAGTTTATTGCAAAATATATACAAATATGTAGTTTGAGACGATTACATCATTTACATACTCCATGCAGGAGGGCGGCTCATATGTAATGGCAAGTTTACAATTTTTGGTAAAAGTTCTCCGATTGGTGGATCTCTCTTCAGAATTATGGGTAGTGTAGTTCTTCATCACAAATCTAGCTGTTAAACATTATTTTTAGAAATTATGTTGAAATTATACTGACTTGCCACTTCTACTAGTAAAGAATAGTTCTTCTAGTAAAGATACTTTTTTTGCTGTTTTGTTTGTTAAATGTATAAAAAAGATAACAATTCTATAAAAACATAAATAATTACTCTGTCACTGTGAACACACCTGTGGGAAAAATATCCTAAACATGAGATGTGCTCTAAAAAGTTATTGAAACAATCTGTACTGTATAAAGTGGTATATAAAAAAGGTATATATTAAGTGTTTCAGACTAACTCAGCATACAGTTTAAAGTGGCTTGCCCTCCTGTCAGATGTGTCTGCCTCTTAATGCATTTGAAACATGTTTTCCTCAGTGTATAACTTACAATACAGTTTTACCCTTATCTGTAAAAGTTAGAAAGTCATGTATTTCCATTTTGCAAAAAGGCTTGTCTTGACAGCAAGTGAGCATGCGTTAGACTTCACTAACTTTATTGAAAGAACGGCTGCGCATATATGTGCATCAAACAGACGCAGCACAATAGAATGAGATTACTGATTTCAACTAAAATATATTTTTTGCAAAAAAAAAAAAAATGCATCCAAAAGTGAAAGAACTTCAAATCTCCACCCCTTTACAACAATACCATAAACCTGAGTATGAAGAGTGTATTGCAGCTGTTTGCAGCAGTAACTTTATTTACAGTAAGTATTTATTTACATTTACATTTAGGGATGTAATGATTCACTCAACTCACGATTCGATCTGATTCACGATTTTGATTTCACGATTCGATTATCTCGTGATTT